GAATATGGGGGGTGTGGGGGGTATTGGCAGGGAAAGGAGGGGAGGGCAAAAGGAAAAAAGTGAAAAAAACTCCATACTATACTATTGTATTGAGTTTACTATATGCTTTTGTGATCCCTTGGAGATGCTTCTGAGATCATTAAGAATTATTTGCAAGTTGTTGGCCTGCATTTTACCTGTAATTAATCTGCATTTGTCCTGCTTTAGCTGCCTTTGAATCCCTTAGACTGGCAAAATAAAAAAAAAATTAATTGAAATATTTTTTTTAAATGACGACCGCCGTCCCATAAGCTGCGACGAACATCTGCAGCAGAATGGCATTTTGACAGATGCTGGCAACTTATAAACAATTGAGCGGAGCTAGCAGTGACCACTAGCTCCACCCAGCTGTTTACAGTTGTAACAGGTGAGCCATGATTGGGCAGAGTCATCATGACTTTGCCCAATCATGGCTCTCACACTTCTCTGTGCCCTAATTGGGAAAAGTCTTACACCTGACCTGGCTTCAGAAGGCGCACTGCTCTATGTGGAGCTTGGCGGGCAGCCCGGCGAACACACAAACTAGCGATGTTCAAGTTGAACTCACGTTCGGCTCAAACATCGAGCCCAACCCTACCATGGGCGATTGTTCCAGATTCTATCTGCTCCAGTGTTGATAAATTCCCCTCGATATATTTTCATTTGTCTTTTGACATATGTCAAATAATAATTTCAATAAAATTTAGGGTAGCGTAAATTCACACATTCTTTCACATATGATAAGTATATATTCAGTATGTTTCACCAGTGTTGAAAATCAAGAAATGTGATAAGGCCCAAAAAAGATGTATTTCTTACTTTACTTCCAGGAAGATAACAAACACTAGGGGGGTTATTCACAAAGCTGCCGAAGACAGCCGAGTGAATAACTGAGCCGTAGTGAAGTGAGCCGAACAACATTCAGCTATTCACCACTGCTCAGTACGGCTGATTTCATCCATACATCAGCTGCCTTTGGGAGCACATCAGTCAGCCAAACATGCCGAACTGCAGAAGGACTTCGACTCAGCCGATCCAACATCTGGATCGACTGAGCCGAAGCTCCGGCAGCTCACTTGGCTTTTGGCTTCTGCTATTCTGCTTGGTACCTCTGTGGTACTGAGCAGAATAGGAAATAGTGAAAAAAGTCATTAAAAAGTTGAACAAATATTTTTTTAAATGTAAATAAATATTACATTGAAAAAAAGAAAAAAAATATATTTTTTAAATAATAAAAAAAAAACAATTGGGCGGAGCTAGCAGTGACAGCTAGCTCTGCCCAACTGTTTCCTATCGGCCGACACCTGCTAGAGTCTTCTAGCAGGACCCGGCCAATGATTGTTCACTTTCGGCTGCTGTACGGGCTACTGTGAATAGCCCGTACAGCAGCCCTTCGGTTCGACTGGACCAAAGGGCTCCAGCAGCCGAAGAGAGCCGAAGCTACGGCAGGATCCTTCAGCTCCTTTGTGAATAGACCCCATGGTAATTCTTTAGTATAGAAATTATAGGTAATTACTTAAAGGGAACATCCCATATAACATAGCATACAATGTTATCAGGATAAATATTAAGAAAAAGTCCATTAAAAAAATCCTCATTATCATGGTCTTTCTAATCAACATCCCCTTCCCCAAATCATACACAGAAACTGCACAAGGACCAATACTGATTTGTAAGCCATTCTTTATTTTTTTTCTGACGAATATGATTTTATAAACCAATTGTTTAGTTAAGCATACAAAACTATTGACATCTCATTAATTTACATTTCTATACCTCTTTAGAATTCCATTAGTTAAGATTATGGTTTTATTTTTATGGCCTTTATGAATTGTTTACAGTATTGAAGGTATTGTTTGAATTGTATTGAATGCAGGTCAATATATTTTTAGCCTAGCCTTCATTAAATAAAAAAAAACCTTAGCAAACACTAATATCATAACACATTCTTTTTAGAGATGTATGTTTTATCTGAAAATCAAAGTGTAAGATATACTGTTACTATGTATCAATAATCATATTTTTTTCCTAGCAGCCACAAAATGATGGTGATGTTAAAAAGATTTGTTTTTTTTATTGCTTTTCTGGCTATGTTCTGTGATCAATGATCAGTTGGGATGGCTTGCCTAGATAATCCTGTTAGATTATTATTGGTGATTAACAAAATGAATTATCAGCACAGGTTTAACAGAGATTTTTAGGTTGATTTACTAATGGCAAATAGACTGTTCACTTTTCAAGGGAATTTGCACTTAACAGGGAAAATTTCCATTAGCTTAGTGAAATTTCACTTTGTAAAGAATCCCCAATCACGTGCAAGGAAAATAAAAAAATAAAAAACGAAGGGAACCTTCCCTTACAAATGCAATTTCCCTTGCAAAGTGAACAGCCTATTTGCCTTTAGTAAATCAACTCCTTTGAGTGAAGAGTAGAGAGCTAACTTTGGAAAATGAGAGCTGCTGATTTCTATGTAAAGTGCTTTAGTCAGATCTTACCTGAAATATTGTATGTTTTGGGGAGTAACCTACAGAAATTCATTGATAAAATAGTGATCAAAGAATACCTACAATAATAAATGTAATATTTTAGCAACCAAGAATGGCTTTCAGAGCCTAATACAAATATATAGTAAAGAGATTGGAAATAAACAATCTAATTGAAACATTCCTACCATAAAATGTAAAGTTCGGGCCATTTTTTCCTATGAAAGTTGGGGTCTAGGTCAAGAGGCATTAGTTGAAATGACCAGGAGGTGAGAAATAACCTCATGAAGTATTGTTTTACCGCAAGACTAGACTATGCTAGATGGGCCAATAGAGCCGTTACGCATTACCAAAAATATACATGGCTTACTGAATTGAATTGTATAATGGTATTTTTGATAAATACTACGAGGGCAAGTTCTTATTCATCTGTACAATTCCTACTTATGTGAATAGGTCGACAACAATAATATAATCATATATTTTTGGGTTGTATTACACATTACATCATTTTTTTTATATAAATGAAAGCTAAACAGCATATATGTTTGCTATTAAAAATGTACAAATTTTATTTGAAAATGTTGATTTTCATATATGGTTTCTACTTTGGCATATTAATTAGGGTTTTAAAATAAGATCTGGTTTTAAATAAGATACATTAGCATTAGGACATTAGGATTTTGTGTTTTCTTTAAATAAAATGTAGATCTGTTGACAGAATATTCTAAAGACACATTTTCTACAACATGACTTGATGTAAAACTATTTCACAGTTTTATATCTGCATACCTTACAGATAGAAAAATATTTTTTTATAAGTAGAGCTTACTTCAGATATATGCCACCACTGCCAGCCTTCATATTTAATAACCATCAGAGTTTTTTTCTCCTGAAGGCATTCCCTTTTATTTTACAAAATGGAGGTACTTGTGTTCTTACAAAGTTGACCACTACAAATCTTCCTGAGATATGAAAGACGAGAAATGGTGACAAAATTAAAATTCATCCTCGAAAATCAACGTTAATAATTTGGTCCTTTTCTAAATGGATCTCTGCCAACAATTGCACTGAAGCATACAGATGGGTCACATATTCCTGGTTGTCCTGCTGGTCCCTGTGATCCAGGTGGCCCACGTTCTCCATCTCTGCCAGGAGGCCCCGGTAATCCAGCTCGACCTTCCTTGCTCATTCCAGGTGGGCCGATAGGTCCTTAAAGTGGAAATAAATACAAAGGCACATTTATCATAACTTTCATAGATAACCTTTATACCAGGGGTAGCCAAACTCCGGCCCTCCAGCTGTGGTTGAACTAAAAATCCCAGGAGGCTTTGCAAGATTCTCACAGCCACAGACATGACTCCCGGAGAGAGATGAATCAGGGGATTTGTAGTTTTACGACAGCTGGAGGGCCGGAGTTTGGCTACCCCTGCTTTATACTAATGTTATGTTGAAAATGCCATAATTGGTTTATTTTTGTGTATATTGTTATGGTCTTACAATTGAATTTATTTAGAAATTATTTATTTATTTATTAAATTGTGTTACTCTTAATAAGTGTGCATAACTGCATTGGAATTTGCAATGACTAACTGTTGAGGTAGGTTAACCACTTGAAGACCGGGGTGTTAAACCCCGCTCCTGTCCAGGCCATTTTTCAGTATTCAGAGCTGAGGTATTTGACTGACATTTTTTCTGTCATGCAACGCCATACCAAACTGGATTTCATATAATGTTTTGGGGACAGATAGAGCTTTCTTTTGGAGGTATTCAATCACGTATGTACAAAAATAACGATTACGCCACACATGTTACATATCACCCCAAACATCAGAGTGAGAACAACATTTTTTAGGGCCATTAATCACTGATAAAACTGATGTTAAAAAAAGCAGTAAAAGCTTGTAAAATTTTTGGTGTGGTAGTTTTTTGCGATTTCGCGCACACACGCTATTTTAAAGCTTGACATGTTTGGTGTCTATTTCCAAAAATGTGGGTAATAATAAATGTTTTATAACATAACATGGGGAATACTGTTTTTTTTGTGAACATTTTCAGAACTTTTTTCTTTATATAGTAAGAAATAAAAACCCCAGTGGTGATTAAATACCACCAAAAGAAAGCTCAAGGTGTCCCCCCAAAAAAAGGTATAAAATTAATTTCAGTACAACATTGCATGACTGAATAAATGTCAGTCAAAGTACTGCAGCACTGAATACTGAAGAATGGCCTGGACAGGAAGAGGGCTTAACACCCCGGTCTTCAAGTGGTTAAACACATTTTCTTTTTGTTTTGTTTTTTCGTTTTTTTAATATGTGACTTTCATTTTTTAAACTTTTTTTACACTTAACTTTATTGCTATCACATAGCTAAGTCTAAGAAGCCCCCTATGTGATAGCAAAGAGGGTGTGACAGGTCCTCTTTATGGAGACATCAGAAGCCTTTTAAACCCCTAATGTCACCTAGGGACCTCCAAAGAAGCTTATGAAGCAGAGATCTGCTTCACCAGCTTTTCTGCGGCTACAGAAGCTGGAGAAATTACAGCTGAAGGTGGAAGTGATGCAATACACATCACTTCCGCATTCAGAGATTGGAGGAGAGATCAGCAGGAGATAGTTTGCTGATCTCCCCCAGATCACAGTTCCGTGAGCTGATGTGCCAGTCCCGGACCCACACAGGGCACAGCAGAGCCCAGAATAGTCAGTGGCAGGGAAGGCGGACCGCACATTGCAACAAAACATACAAGCAATCAGGTGGCTCTACAGTCACCCAAACACTTGCATGTAAACAGCCATCATTTACATGTGCAGGCTGGCACACATGAGCAGTTGTGGGAGAAAGGAAGTTTTAAAATTCCCACCTGCATTCAAGAAGCCACAATCCAGCCATTTAATTACAATGGCCAGACTGAAATTGGTATAAATTCACTGGTCACTTCTCTCACTTTTTTTTAAATATAATTGAGGGCAGTATTATTGCTCTGATTAACTTGTATTGCCTGTGTATGTTCCATTTGTTTCTGTTCTTAATATTTGAAATACTCAAAAGTAAAACAAACAAAAGGTTAAAAAAAGTAAATCTGGAACTGGTTCAAGGTGCAGAAGAGGAAGAATAAGGAGGAAGATGAAAAAAAACAACTGAATCAAGTAAAAAGAAATAAAATGACACAATATGCAGTCCACATGAATAGAATTTAGATCATATGCAAGAGAATAAAATGTAAAGAATGACAGAGGTAAAAGTTATTAGTGAGCAGGCAATTAACAGACTTTATTTTCTGCCCCTTCTAAAATTTTATAGAATAGAGAAAGTGGCATAGACAATAGTCTTAAAGTTGCCTTATACTCTAATATTAACATGAAGTTTCAACAACAGTCTTAATACAAAGGCCTAAAAACTCATACTGTAGAAACTGCTGAAAGCCTCATCTTTGGCAGAGATTATGTGACCAAGTGCCTGGGCCTACACACATGATTCCAGTACTGTATGCCTGAAGCCAGAACTATCCCTAGGAAAGGTAAATATTTCAGCCCAAATTTCAGTAAAATGCAATATATTTCCCTAAGTTTTTTCATTTGTAGTAATTTGTTGTAATGTGGTAATTTTAATTCTTTGCCATTCATTTTTTGTACTTGCCAGCATATCACAAATATGTAAATGTATCCCTATGCTCATACTATACCTGGGACTCCAGGTGGTCCTTGAATTCCAGGTTCTGAGTCACCTTTATATCCTTTTGGACCAGGCCTTCCTGGAGCCCCTGTATGTATTCAAATAAAAAAAAGAAAAGAATTACCAAAGAAAGTAGTAAGATGTTACATATCTTTAGGCAATTGGTTAGTTGCTTTAGGAGACATCTAATGTAAATTGTTTTAGACTTTGTAGACTTAAACGAATAAAATAAAAAAAAGTACAGGAAGTTATACATTGTATTTTTGGAAAGGTATTAGCATTATGGTTTTGTATAACAATTAAGTTTGCTTCTCTTTTAACAAAAAGGTAGCAAGACACATACAAGCCATTCCTTTAAGATTGGACCATGGGTTTTGAGGTAAATCATGAAAGACTAAAGTTAAGCCATCAAAATGGTGTTTCTGTAAGGTCCAGTAAATCAAGAGTGTCAGTGTATTTCCCATATCATTCTCTTCTACCCAAATATAAACTGGTAAAGAAGATAGAATTTGCTAGTCACCTGCTGTTGTTTAACCTCAATGTACAGTATATCTATACTGTTTTAATAAATATGAATATGGTTTAAGTCTATATGGTTTAAGTCATAAAATAAACTAATAAAAGGCTCTTTTGCCATAAAATATGTGTTTAATTTAAAATAAGCTAAAAACAAAAAGAGCTAATAAAAACTGTCCATCACTCACATGTTATTGTTTCAGTTACTATTAGGATGTAACCTTAAAGATTCTCTGTCATAAGAGAATCATGGAGGCTGTCATTGCTGAACTCTGCTTTTGAGAATATTTATTTACTGACACACTGATAGTGTTATATACCTTTTAAATAGTATATACCCAGTTTTCATCCAAAGGCTGAATTTGGTTAACTAAGAAAGCAACATTTCAGCAGTGGCAACATTTTATGGAGAAAATTTTGGCTTTCAACTGGTAGGATGTACACTTCTCTTCTCATTTTAGTGTAGTTTACATTGGACCATAAAGTAGGAAACATCTACAAGCAAAGTTCAAGGAGATTATCACCATCAATAACAAAATTTGATATTTTATATACCTTGAATACATTTCAACAAAAGATAGTTAAAAGAGAACTAAAACCAAACGTTTTTTGGGGGCATTAGTTCTCTTTTGGGTCAAAGGAAGTACATTAAATAATGTACTCCTGTGACCCACAGTCAGCATCCAGTGGGCTAATAGCTGGCAGAGCAGAGCTGTACTGCAGCCCGGAAAGATCCCCACAATATAAATCGGGATCCACCCCACTGCCTGATTGACAGCTGGCTCTTCCTCTCTAGAGCCAGAGCCAGCTGCTCCCACCGAGAGAGTAAAAGGGAGGAATCCTTGTAGTGAATGGTGACTGACAGTCAGGGAGAAGACCATTAGATGAGCAATCAGTGGTTCATGATCACTCAAATCACCTGCAGTGTCACACGCTGGCTCTAAGTACTTGGAAAAGTACATTTTACACTCCCAATACTTCTCCTTTAACTTTAATTTTACACATTGATAAATATGCCAAAAAGTCAAACATTACAGATAACTAATGAGTTATTAATAATTTAAGATAGAGTATTCAGATCCTTGCATAAGTTTGTTCATAGTTGATTCCTCTCTTTAAATAGAAATCAGGGTTATTAATCTTTATAATTATAACCCCCCAAATTTCCATAGAATGCTTTGGTCATTCTATTAATAATTCAATAGAAATTAAAAAAAGACATCTGTGTTCTGGAAATACAGTAATCACAATGCCACTTTTGACCCCAGGATAGAAATGTTGAACAGCGCTCCAGGTAAACCAAATCACTAAAATCTCACATCAGCTTTCACAAAATTATGTAATTTCAAATGTTGTTTTCAATCTGTGAGCTTAATTTAAACAACAACTAGTGATATTGCTATCAAGGTCCTTGTTCAGACACTCCCTGTAATAGGCTGACAACTGTATTCTGCTTGAACTCCTGCATTGTCTCCCTGTTACATGCATTCCTGGTGGAGACTGTAAGTGGCTGTGGCAACACATGTTGCTCAGGTTTAGTCCACTGTTTTCAGTAAACCAGTAAAGAGCAATGCAACTGATGCTGGAGAAAGGTCATGTAGACTGGAAGTAGTTAAAATGGGCTGAAGGAAATTAGCAGCATTAGGATGGCTTAAAATGATAAAAAAAGGGGTAAAACAAGTATTAAAAACAAATATGGCAATTGTTTATGATACCTAAGGAACATAAATTTAATATATTTAGTGTTTACATTACTGTTTCAGTGATTTTCTATTACTGAATATGTATAATATCCTGCTTGGTTAATTAATTGATAATAGGATTCTTTGGTATACAATAAACTCAATGCAGTGAACTAAAGGGGTTTTTTTCCCACCGAATCCCTCACGGTTTTAAGTAAGCAGGGACCAACAGTGATTCCCCTTTTATTAAAAAAATCAAGGGTGCAGGGACTTGTGAGCTGAGACTACCTACCCAACTCCTTCCTCATGAGGGCATGACCTGGTAAGGAAATATAGTACCAGAGGTTGAGTTCAGAAAGTGAGGGGGATGGGGGAGACCATACTTTAAAGACTCTAGTTCTTTACACATACTGCACATTGGAAATATCCAACCAGTGGTCAAATGTCAGCCAACACTATGCTTGTTGCCCATATTAAATAACACAACAAACAGAGATATCTTTATCTAATTTGCTTAGTATACCTTTAAATCCCGGGATACCTTGATGTCCCGGATGTCCTACGGAGCCAGGAAAACCATTTCTCCCTGGTGTTCCAGGAAGTCCTCTTGGTCCTTCAGAACCCACTGGCCCTGTAGGTCCTGGAAGTCCAGTAGGTCCTTGCTGAGTTTTACAATGATCACAGCTTTGCAGTCTTTCAGAATGTAATAGTAAAGGTAGATGGGCTAACATAAATTAGAAACAGAGTAGATAAAGTGAATATTTCATTAGACTTTTTAGGCAGCAAAAGAACCAGCATAACATTATAGTAAAAAGAATATCAATACAAACAATAAAAAGTATAATTGTTTGTGTGCTATTTGTATTGTATTATCTTCCAATAGCCTGATTAAATGTAAATAAATGTAATTATTGTATCCTAAAATGTATCAGAAGTAGAGTCTTGCACTGTGTTAGCTATTAGGAATGTGAATTAAGCAAAGTTTGATATGCAGGAGGTTCAGTCTACCCAGTAGGAAATCTGTAAACCCCGATTGTACTGTGGAACCCTACTGAAGTTTATGGAAGCTGAATCTTGTTATTTTATCTGGGGTCTTTTAATAGGCAATATTGAAAATACACAAATCCTTTAAATAACATGCTTGTGGATTACCATAAAGCTGCACATGAAGTTATGAGAGCAACATGATGTAATCCTTTAACCCTTTTGCTGCCAAGCCCTCCAGAACTTTTTGCACCTCAGCTGGCCACGCCATTTTTGCCATTTTTGCCATTGATTTGATTTCCAACTGCTGCGTTGCTAGCGTTTTTAAAAGACCCCTCAAACCATCTATTTTCTGAAAGTACAGGCCTGGTAAAATAAAAGATGGTACTACTAAATTTGTAGGCCCTGCGATAATTGCGCAAATGTTTCTCAAATGAATATTAAACCGATAAAAATATACAATTCAATTGATAAAGTTGATAAAGCACACTAAAATCAGTATCAGTGCACAAAAAAATTATTTTCTGATTTCTTTTTCTGCAGCCTCAGCACTCAATGTATAGGAAGTACAGAGGCTTCCCATTCATTCAGAAACTGGTGATAGTAAAATATTTACTATCACCAGTTTCTGAATGGGGAAAAGCCCTTGTAGTGAGTGCTTCTCCCCATTGAGTAAGTCATGAATGAACAGGAAGTGATGTAAATCACATCCTGTTCATTCATAACTGGGGACACATAGTACTATGTGTCCCCAGTTATTTACAAACACTGGAGTGATCAGACAATCACTCCTGTGTTTGTGCCGTACAGAGGATCGGTAAATATTGTTGATATTTACCGATCCTCCGCTCGGCCACGCACAGAGCCGCTGTCATCCTGAAACTGACAGGATGACAGCGGCTCCTCCCTGCCCGCCGCTCTCTCATGCCGCTCGATCATCGTGATCAAGCGGCTCGATCCTCTGCCCCAGCCGGAGATTTTTTTAGGATCACCGCTGCCTCAGCCCCTACAAGCGGGGGAGAGCAGGGGGATCCATGCAGACACAGATGAGAGGCTCCAGTTGCCGGCGGCCGGCGGCAGCGGTGCCGGCGGGGGT